CTTCGCGGAGCGGCCGGGCTGCGCCTCCAACCTTTACCTGCCCAGCTGCACCTACTACGTGCCCGAGTTCCCGGCCGTGCCGCCCTTCCCCGGCCGCCAGCTCTCCTACCCCTACCCCAACCTGCCGCAGGTGCCCCGCGAGGTTCCCTACGCGCTGGAGCCCTCGGGGAAATGGCACCCCCGCGGAAATTACGCGGCGTGTTACTCCGCCGAGGAGCTGATGCACCGCGAGTGCCTCCCCGGCGCCGGCGTGGGCGAGATGCTGCTGAAGAACGAGGGGTACCATCATCATCATCACCACCACCACCAGCACGGCCCCGCCGCGCCGCCCGCGCCCGCCTTCTACCCCGGCGTGGGCAAAAACTCCGTCCTGCCGCAGGGCTTCGATCGATTCTTCGAGAACTCCGCGTTCTGCGGCGCCGAGAGCGCGCCCGACAAAGGGGACGAGGGGAAAGGCGCGGAGGGCAACGCGCAGGAGGAGGAGGAGGAGGAGGAGGAGGAGGAGAACACGAACCCCGGCTCGGCCTCGGCGTCCTCCTCGTCGGGAGCCAAGGACGGCTCCAAGAGCGGCGCTCAGAGTAGGTTGAGCCGAGCTTAACCCGGGGCTCGGGGGGGGGGACCCAGCCCGGCCGGGCTTTGCCGGGCCGAGCTTTTTTATGTGCGGTTTTATAAGCGCTCCCAGGATTTTATTAGAAGCTCCGAAGCGCTTTCTTCTCCTCTTTTTACGATGGCGGAAAAAAAAAAAAAAAAAAAGAAAAAAAAGAAAAAAGAAAATAAAAGCGCTGGGAGAACAAAAAAAAAAAAAGAAAAGCGGCTAAAATGTAAAATGGAGATGTTAAAGCCGCTTCCCTCTCGCTCTCTCTCTCTCGGCGGAGTCTGTGAAATTTTAAAAGCGCGGCCGAGTGACAAATATTAACTTTGATCATGAACTTACACGGGCGTTTTAAAGGATCGGGGTTGCCGAGGGTAAAAGGCAATTGGGCAGAACGCGCTGGGGCCGCCCGGGCTTCCCCCGCCGCTTCCCCGGCGCTTTGCTGCGGTTTGGGAAATCATTTTTTAATTAAAACGCTCTGCGGAGCCTCCTGTCCCCGGGCGGGCGCGGGGCCGAGGGAGGAACGGGCGGAACGGGGGGAGAAAAGGAGAATTTCCCTGGATTCTCCCGCTGGAAGCGGCGCTCCCTCCCCTCCCGAGCCGGGCTTTTGTCAGGGGAGGATTTCCAGGGCTCCTTCCAAGGCGGATTCCCGGGTTTATTTCGGATTATTTTTATTTTTGTTGTTGTTTTGCTGTCCCGGGAACCGGGGCCGGTTTTGGGGGGGATTTTTTTTGGTTTGAGGATTTTTTTTCTTTGCCTCCGAGGATCCCAATCCCCCTCTCCCGGATTTTCCCGCTCCCCTTCCCTCGCGTGTGTGGCGAGGGCTGGAATTAATGAAAACCTCGTGCGGAACCGAATCTCTGGTTCCTCTAATCCCGACCTAACCCGGGCTCAGTTGAGCGCGGCTCTGCCTTTGATCCCCTTCCCTCGGCTAAACCCGGCTCAAACCCGGCTCAAACCCAGCTCAAACCCAGCTCAAAGCCTCCCAAACCCTCCCCAGACTCAGCTCAAACCCGGCTCAAACCTTTCCCAAACCCAGCTCAAAGTCGCTCCAGACCCGGCTTTTCCCTCCAAACCCCCAAATCCGCCTTAATCCCGGCAGAAATTCCTCCCAAATCCGCTCGGAGCCCTCCCAGCGCGGGGTTTTGGGGAGATTTATTCGGTTTTGGGGATTTGAGTCCTTTTGGGGGTGTTTGTCATTTCAGGGTATTTGTTCCTTTTTGGGTATTAATTCCTTTTTTTGGGTATTAATTCCTTTTGGGGTATTCATTATTTCAGGGTATTTATTCCTTTTCGGGTATTAATTAATTTTCGGGGTATTTATTCCTTTTGAGGGTTAACTATTCCTATTTAGGTTATTTATTCTTTATTCCTTTTTGGGATATTTATTCCTTTTCGGGCTACTCATCCCTTCCGGGATTGTTTCTCCTTCCAGGCCATTCATTCCCTTTATTTTGGGATAAATTCCCTTTATTTTAAGACATTTCTCCCTCCCGGGAGTATTTCTCCTTTCAGCCCATTAATTCCCCTTATTTTGGGCTGAATTCCCTTTATTTGGGCTGAATTCCCTTTATTTTGGGCAGAATCCCCTTTATTTTGGGCTGAAATCCCTTTATTTTAGGGTTAATTCCATTTATTTTGGCCTGAATCCCCTTTATTTGAGGTTTAATTCTCATTATTTTGGGCCGAATTCCCGTTATTTTGGGCCGAATTCCTGTTACTTTGGGCTGAATTCCCGTTATTTGAGGTTTAATTCCCTTTATTTTAGGGTTAATTCCCTTTATTTTGGGCTGACTCCCCTTTATTTTGGACTGAATTCCCATTATTTGAGGTTTATTTCCCTTTATTTTGGGCTGAATTCCCATTATTTTAGGGTTAATTCCCTTTATTTTAGGTTTATTTCCCTTTATTTTGGGCTGAATTCCCTTTATTTTAGGGTTAATTACCTTTATTTTAGGGTTAATTCCCTTTATTTTGGGCCGAATCCCCGTTATTTTGGGTTGAATCCCCGTTATTTTGGGTTGAATTCCCTTTATTTCGGGGCCAATCCCGTTATTTTGGGTTGAATTCCCGTTATTTCGGGGCCAATCCCGGTTTTTCCAGGCGCTCCCAGGACGAGGAAGAAGCGCTGCCCGTACTCCAAGTTCCAGATCCGGGAGCTGGAGCGGGAATTTTTCTTCAACGTTTACATCAACAAGGAGAAGCGGCTGCAGCTGTCGCGGATGCTGAACCTGAGCGACCGCCAGGTCAAGATCTGGTTCCAGAACCGCCGCATGAAGGAGAAAAAGCTCAGCCGGGACCGACTCCAGTATTTCTCTGGGAACCCCTTGTTGTGA